CCTAAACCCTAAACCCTGGATGAAGCACCAAAACAAATCCTGCCAGGAGGTCTTCGCTACCTCCGTGCTTGGAGAAGTGCCTTCAAAGACATTGCTCTTTAGCCGCATTGGCATGGTGTTTGTGGGTGGGTATTAGCTCTCTGCTGCATATCTTCCTGGGAAGCATGGAACTCCAGGTGAGCATCTTCAAAGTGGCAGGATGTGCTGTGGAAGTGATAGCTTTTGGGGATTTCGTCTAGGGTTCACGGGCAGAGGGCACGCAGAAGACCGCCATAGCAGCCACAGCAAATCATGTGCGTCCGCTGAGGCGGTTTTCTGCAGGGTGGGGCTCGGCGCATCGGTGTGTAAATCGCTTAGGGCCCACCCTGAAACAGATGACATTGCAGACAACTTGTGAGGTCTGGGGAGAGAATACCAGTTGGCATGCAGCTTTTCCTTCAAGGGGAGGCGCGAAAGCGTGCTGATGTCTCGCAGATTGCCTTTCTACCCCATGCCTAGCGCTGCTGTTATTTTTTGAAAAGGCTAAGGCCCGTCAACCTAACCTGAATCTGACATCAGCTTTCCAAGCCCTAGAACCCTGAAAATCCGAAAAGCCGAAGACCCGAAACTTCGAATCCTCCAAACCCCATTATATTGGGATAATGGAAANNAATCAAATGGAAACTATTATAATAGAGTATATATTGGGTTATAATAGGGGATATATTCGGGTATATATTGGGATAATGGAAAAGAAAATGGAAACCACTATAGTTGGTAGTTTCCCCAAAATTAGGGTACCCCAATATAGACCCCAATATACTATCGTCCTTATTATAGGGACCCCCAAAAAGGTACCCTTTCCCAATTCTTCAACCCTAAACCCTAAACCCTAAACCCTAAACCGAGCAAAGCATCCTGGGCCATGGTCTTGATCGAAGATTTGGATGTTTCCGACGATGGGCGTGGCCAGGAGCACCAGGCATCTGCAGAAAGTTTATACCCCAATATATACCTTATTATAACCCTAATATATACTCTATTCTAGTAGTTTCCATTTGATTTTCCATTATCCCAATAAGGAGCACCAGGCATCTGCAGAAAGTT